CGCGCCGGGGCCCTCCCCTCGCCGCCAAGCTTCCTCATTCCAGCGCAGCATCACGCTGAAGTCCGCCTCGGGATGCGGCGGCCGGCGCTCTGCCCGGTGGCCGGGCAGCCCAGCTTGGCGGTGATGCTGCTGCGGGACCAGCGTTTAGCCGGAGGGGCGCGGCGCGGGCGGCACGTGCGGGGCTGCGGGCAGGGGGAGGAGACCGCGCGCCGCCCGGTCCGCACCCCGACGCGTGTGGTGTAGCTGCTGGGTCGCTACACCGGCATGTTCTCCCAGTGGGGGGACTCAAAGGACTGGGGACCCTGGATGGCATTTGCCCTTGTGTCTGGGAGCGTCCGCTCTTGGCCCAACCCATGGCCCTTAAAATTGGGATCCCTTGGTTCCCAGGTTCGGGCTCAGGCCCCAAAATACAAAGGCCCACCCGTGGGGGTGGGAAAAGTTGATCCTCCGCAAGTGAGGAGAAGGTGCAATTCATTTTCCCAGACAACCAATGGAATACCTCTGGTGTCTCTTCCCTCCCACCTGCGCAAGGTAGAAGTTAGGATGGCGTCTTCCATCTTGGCCTGTGTGCACCTGCAAGCGTGGAAGAGTGTCTGCCGGGGATATGGCAAGGAGGAGATCCTGCTACTCCACTTCCCGCCCTTGGCACCGCAGAACTCTCCCTAGCCTGCACGACACCCAGTGCCTGGGCTGAAGCGAGACTGCTTGCCTCTGACAGTGCACCCCCTGGCACTCTACAAGGAGCCCCTCATTCTGATTAGCTGGGCTCCACCCGACGGCGCTTGCAGTCGGAGCACAGAGGAGGAATGTTGGGTTCCACACCAGTCTCTGGGTCCCGGCCCAGTTCGAGAGGAGAGGACCCAAATTGGAATGATGTGGCCTTTGCTCTGCCTGGCTTGGAAGCCTGCACATGCACTCAATAAGGCAGGCAGGCAGGCAGTGCCATGGAAATTGGGGGGAAGAAGGTTCTGCGGCCTCCAAGGAGTAGGATGCTCAAGAGGAGAGCGGGCACAGTTCTGCCAGGAGGAGAGAACAACTGGGCAACGGGGACAGACAGATAATGTCACTTCAAACCACTGAGTGTGGCTGGGGATACAGTCATCAGGATGGCTGTGATTGAGTTGAAGAGGGTGTTATGGCAGGGCCTATTCCCCTCCAGTGATCCGCTCTGCTTTCATTGTCCTTGGAAGAAGAAGACGGGTTTTGATTGTTATACAACATCTGGATAGATTCTTCCTGAGTCACTTAGATAACACTACTCAGTTTATCTCGCCAATTTTACACTGGGTTGAGCCTGAGCCATTTAACTCCCTGCCAGACCTCAGGGGGGAGAAGACTAGTAAAGGATCCGTTGGTCCTGTTCCTGACCCTTCACTTGGTTTTGTGACTTTGGGCAAGTTCTCCAACCTCCTGCCTTCCAGCTAAGTCATCTACTCGTCTAAAAAATAAACATGTTACTAATTCCAGAGGGATCTCTAGTTCTTGGATGTATAAGTCTGTTTCTGTCTCTGTCTGTCTGTCTCTGTCTGTCTCTGTCTCTGTCTCTGTCTCTCTCTCTTTCTTCCTCCCTCCCTTCCTCCCTCCCTGTCCAGTATGGGTACTTAGAATCCCATACTTACTCTCAGTTGGCTTGCTGGCATAGTACCACTTGAGTCACACCTCCAATTTAACATTTTGCTAGTTAATTGGAGATAAAATCTCACAGATTTGTTGGCCCAGGCTAGCTTCAAACTAAGATCTTCCAGGTCTTATTTTCCTGAGTAGCTAGAATATTAGGCATAGACATAGGCGGCTCATGCTTATAGTCTTAACTATTCAGGAGACTGAGATCTTAGAACTATGGTTCAGAGCCAGTCTGGGCATAAATGTCTGAGAGACTCTTATCTTTAGTTAATCATTAAAAAGTTAGAGATAGAGGTGTGGCTCAAATGGTAGAGTGCCAGCTTGAACAACAAAGTAAAGAGACAGTGCACAGGTCTTGAGTTCAAGCCTCAGAACCAGCACACATGAAAAACAATTGTAGGCTGTAGTCTTCCAGAATGAACTCAGATATGATCATCCCAAAAAGATACATTGTAACTGAGGCTATAAGCTCAAATAGTCTGGACTTTGTTGTACTATGCCTTTTCCATCTTGCAATTGGTTTTTTACCATCTACAAATGAGTGGAAATAAGCTTCCTTGTGGGATTATTTGTGCTAAATAGATCAAATATGGAAGATTTTGCCACATGCCTGTCTCTCAGAAAGGAAGACTATAGGTCATAAATATCACTTGTCATTCACTCCGCTTAGTACCAATGTGTCACTAAGGTGGGAAGAGTCCCAGACTGTCAGGCCCTGGGTTCCATTCCTGACCCCCATCCTCACACAGGTAGAGCTCACATGACTCTAATTGCAATCTGGAAACTGAAAACGGATACCAGGTGACCAGTAGTCACTTAAACATTGAGCATTTAAACCAACAATAACATTACATTGATGCGGGAGGGGGAACCGGGAAAACTGAAACTATGTGATACTGTAACTTATATTTTTATGTCTGTAATCACTTTACTGTGCTTTGCTGTGTTTCCTAAAGTTAGAGTGTTATTGTTTAATGTATTCAGGAATAATTGCTGAATTACCAATTCTTCTTTAGGAGAGTGTAATGTGATAAGAATAAAGAGCAGCTAAGGAAGTAATCAGAGGCTCCAGATTCCAAGCTCAGTACTGGAGTCAGTTAGGTACCTTTGTTCCTGCAAAGACTTGGAGAGTTTTTTTTTTTTTAAGTGAGTTTTCTGAAGTAAAAGGATAACTGAAGTGATATGGTATGGCTAACAGTTTTGATCTTCCTATGTTTTCAGCAGGTCACTTAACTCTATGAGCTTCAGTGTCTCATACACTGAGAGTCCATTTGTATGTGTGTGTGTGTTGTGTGTGTGTGTGTGTGTGTAGATACTGGGGCTTGAACTCAGGGCCTTATGCTTTTGCTTAGCCTTTTTCCTCTCAAGGCTGGTTCTCTACAACTTGAGCCACATCTCTACTTCTGGCCTTTTTTTTTTTTTTTTTTGGTTAATTGGAGATTGTAGATGAGTCACTTAGATTTGTCTACCTAGGCTGGCTTTGAGCCAATCCTCAGATCTCAACTTCCTGAGTACCTAGGGTTTACAGGCATGACTCACCAGCACCCACCTAGAGCATATCTCCTTTACAGTGAATAGAGTTAGGTGAAATTCAGTGAAATAATGTCTGTAAGAAGTTGTACTTTTCTTCAGTTTTTAAAAAGTCCGTTCAATATTGGCATAATGTGCACTCATTTTTTCTTCAGAGTTTGGTAAACAGCGAGAATAACAGGAAAGTTTTTTTTGGTGTGTTGTTAAAAAAGAAACTAAATTATCTTTCCATGGAGTTAGCCTGTAAGAACGTACATAGTTCCATCAGAAAAGGAAGATGAGTAAGAGAAGGAAACCCAGGATGTGGATGAAACTATTGCGACAAAGACTGCTCTTTCCATTTCTTTCCCCCTGTGTTCATGGTCTCCAGCTTCTGCTTCTGCCTGTTTGAAAACTCTCAGTAGCTCATTTGGGATGAGGTTCTTGGTCCTTGGTCCATTTTCTTGGCTTCTCTCCTTAGTCTGGTCACTTCTAAGCACTGAGCCCCATCTACCAACAAAATGGTGGGATATGATGCCTCATAGCAGAGAATAGGAAGCCCCTGGAGCCCTAAAGGACAGCCCTTTGGGTTCTGGCTTTGTGACATTGGAAAGAATACCCAGGAATCTGAGGGCACTGTTGACCACATCTTAGACATGAATCATGGGCAGATCCCAGGCTTTGAATCTAATATGTGCCACAATTGAGAACCCAGTTTTTCCTCCTCTCAGTAATTCTTTCAGTGTATTCTCTTTGGTGTCTGTAAGACAAAAATGCAGTTAGCTTCAAAAACAGTGAGGTTTTATATTATTTGGTTAGAAGAGATTGGAAGCCAAACAAGTCAGGTACAAGGATTTGGAGAAAAGAGACTTACAAATAAGTAGCTTTCTGCTGAAAACTTTCTAAAACCATATTTTGGTGAATACAACAAATGTGGATATCCCTCTGAACTGTATAGATCACAATGAAGAAAGAAAGGGACTTGTCTCCCTTCCCCTCACTTCCCCATGCCACCCCACCAGCTGATTCTACTGGACAGGCATATATTCTTTTATCCAAAAGGCATTTCTTTAATTAACCAATCATTTAATTTATGGTGGTCTTTGAGATACAGGGAATCATAATGAAGTATGAGATGTGGTTTTGTCTCTTGAGAGGCTCACAAGCTAGCAAAGTAGATAGACAATTAAATACTTGCTTTTCGTGCAAATGTGGCCTGATAA